GATTCGATGCCTAACTTGGTGTCGAAACTTGAGGCAGACACCGTGGCTGTCTCCCACGAGTGAGCTCAGCCCCTTCTTTCCCATCAAAACCCCGGACTGGTTTAGGGTCGTGGGTGCCCAGCCAAAAGCATCCACTGGCCCATCCTCCTCCGTTTCCAGAGGACTGCCGTTTGATCAGAGTTCTGACCGATGTTCCAGCTTCTGTGTTTCTAAGAAAACTTGCATTCCTGACCTAGACACCAACTCTTCCTCCTCCTCCCTTCTCTCCTCTGCCTGGAACTTGAACATCAAACCTGGGCAGGCGGCGAGGGCAGCACCCATCTTGTATGTGTATAAGGCAGCATGAGTGAGAATGGCATCTGAGCAGAAAAGTGGAAAAGGGCTGGGTCCTCCATGATATTAAATCACCTGCTCTGCTCTGGGCTTCTCACATCATGGGGGAAAAAGTGTTATTTGTTGAGGCCACTGTGTCTGGCTGCCCTGTTCCTTGCAGCTAAATGCATTTTCAATTGAAATGAGAGACCCAGCTTTTCTAGATTTCAACACATGTTCACCCCACCTCTCCATGGGTCCCCACAGGGTTTCTTCATGGTAGTCCAGATCACTGTCCTTCCTCCCATTAGCAGATGAGGAAACAGCAGTGAAGGGTTCTGACAGAGTCAGGGCCTGACCTCCAGGACTCTCTGTTCCCTGTCTATCACTTCTCCCAAGAAGACCCTGCTTGCCCCCCGGGCAGCCTGGGGTGATCCCCTCTCTGTCAGGTCTCACCACTCTCAATCTTCCACCTAGAAGGTAGAGTTTCATCAGGAATCCGGGAGCAGGTGAACTGACTGCTTCTGGTGTAAACTCTGCAGCCTGTGCATCCAAGAGAAATGTGAACTTTCAGGTGTTGTAATTTTAGAAATACATTTCACAGGGCTCCAGCTGCCATGGATAGGGATTCCTCTGGTGGATCTGAGCAGAGTTAGCAGGAACCTTTCTGGAAGGGGCTCACCATTCCACATGCCATCAAGAACACTGACATGGGAAGAGGTCAACATGCCATCATGAACAGAGCTTGGAAGACGTTGACTCCAGGCCTCACAGGTGACCTTGAGGAGTTCAAAGCTCCCACTGCCAAGAGTAAATACATCTTTTATTTTAAACTCCACCTCTGTGAGTCAAAGGACCTAGACTCAAGTCCTGGGTCTCTCTCTTACTTGCTGTGTGATCTTGGGAAAATCTCTGAAACCTCCCTACGCATCCATAAAAGGGGAAGAGCTGCTCTACTCCCCAGGCTCTGATAAGAGCTCAGAGAAACAGGACAAACTATGAGATGTGATGAGACGCTCAGAGTATAGGATGTCAGGGGGACCTTTCATGTGTGATAAAGCAGGGCTGCCCTCATTAGGGGCCATTATCATGATGGCTTCGGTGTACCTCAGGGCTCTGGCTCTTCCCTGAGCTCAGCCCTCTCCGCAGCTGGCATGTACATTCCAAACATGCCTCACGTTAATGTGTAGACACTACAGACACACCTCACATCAACGTGTACATTACAGACACCTGACATTGATGTATATGTTACAGACACGCCTCACGTCTACATGTATGTTACAGACAAGTCTCACAAGCCTTCATGACAACTCATTTGTCAACCTCATAAGAGCTGAGAACATTGACCTTGTTGAGACAACATCTTTCAGGAAAAAAATCATTTCAGTGTCACAATTCTTATTTGCTCATTAAGTCAGCCTATCTAATTTCATGAGTTCTTTCTTAGTGACCACAATGTATTCATTCACACCCTTTCAAAAATAAAATTGGATTGGGCATTGAGCTGGGACCCTAACCCTAACCCTAACCCTAAATCCGCCCCTCCCCCGCTCCCAGCCTAGTCCCTCCCAATTGAGGCTGGTCTCTATCCTTGTCCTCATCCCGACCTCCTACCCCCAGGGAGATCCGGCCTCCTCTGGCTCACCTTAGTGACAGTTTACTGCCTCCCAGGGCCATCCATTTGCCTCTGAACATCCTCTGCTAGAACACTCTTCCTGAGACAGACACTCCTTGGCAGACACGAGGGTGTGTCCTTGGCAAACCACTAATACCATGCCTGCCTAGCTGTGTAGGGTGGTGACTGGCAGAGTTGGTGAGGACGAGGGACCCCATGTGAGGCATCACCTAACCAGAAGTGCCATCTGGGCTAGATGGCAACAGTGAGGGAGAGTGTCACTCAGCAGCCCCAGGGGGCTCACAAGACAGCTTTTCCTTCCTGCCCTAGAGAACTCAAGAGCAGCAATGATTCAGTGAACCCCGGCCCTCCAGGTCTCTGCTGGGATCAGCCAGGCTCTGCTGCAGTGACGGTGCTGAGAGCTTGGGGGGCTTCAGGTCATGGAAGTCTCTTCCTCACTCGTAGAGCATGGAGTGGAGGCCCAACCCCATTTCTGTGACATTGGGAACACAGGGCCTGGGCCCCACTGCCGAGACAGAGCAGGAGCAGGCATGCCAGCGCTTGATTGTATCAGGTTCAGCCCACAGGCATGTCTTGTGTCTTGCACTTCCCAGGTACCGCACCGTTCATATGCCGAAGGTTTGCGGGAGCCGTTCATAGCGTGAGTCCACCGCGCCGTGTTCCAACGACATGTGTTCACTTCCTGTCTGTGTGTCACATCTGGCGATCCTTGCAATATTTCAGACTTTCTCACTATGATCATTATATCTCTAACGGTGATCTGTGGACAGTGATCTTTGATATTGCTACTGTAATTACCTCAGGACACCATGACCTGCCTGCACCCATATAAGACAGCAAACTTAACCCATCCATGTGCGGGTTCTGACTGCCCCACTGACCAGCTGTCCCCCCATCTCTCTCCCTCCCCTCAGGCCTTCCTGTTTCCTGAGACACAACAATAGGGACATTAAGACAATCATAACCCTACAGCGGCCTCCAGGTGTTCAAGTGAAAGGAAGCATGGAACATCTCTCTCGCTTTAAATCAAAGCTGGCCGGGCTCGGTGGCTCAGCCTGTAATCCCGCACCTTTGGGAGGCTGAGGTGAGTGGATTGCCTGAGCCCGCGGGCTCGAGACCCTCCTGGGCAACTTGGCGAGACCTCATCTCTACAATAAATCAAAAAATCAGCCGGGCGTGGTAGCGCACGCCTGTAGTTCCAGCTACTTGGAAGGCTGAGGTGGAAGGATCGCTGGAGCCCAGCAGGGCAAGGCTGCGGTGGCTGGGAGCGGCCACTGCCCTCCAGTCTGGGTGACAGAGGGAGACATCAACTCAAAATCAATCAATCAATCAATCAATCAATCAATCAAAGCTGGACATGAGGAAGCTCAGGGAGGAAGGCATGTCGAAGCCAAGACGGGCCAAAACTCGGCCTCTCTCACCAAACAGCGAGCCACATAATGACTGGAAGCCCAAGGAAAGCCCTTGGGGGACGTCAGAAGGGCTCCTGCCGTGGACACGCGGAGGTTGAGAAAGGGACGCGGCGCCTTGCGGACGGGGAGGAAGTGTGAACGGTCGGGACAGAAGCTCAGCCAGCCTGATAGCCCCTTAAGCCAAAGCCTCCCCCAGAGCCAGGCCCTGACTCCTCAATTCTGGGAAGGCTGAGAGGGCTGAGGACGCTGGGGAGGAAAAGGCAGAAGCCTACAGGGACCGATTCACGAGGCGGAAGGAAAGACGCGTCTCCAGATCATCCAGTGCAGGTGCGGGAGCAAGTGCTGGTGGGGAAGCTGCAGTGAGTCACTCGGGAGACCCGGCGAGACCGGGGGTGGTGGCAGACAGGCTCAGCCACAGACTGTCCATGCGACCACGCGGCCTTCTATGGGAAGATGCCCCCCGGGACTTTCACATCTAGAGGGGCGAAGGCAAAGCCTGGCTTCCGCTTCCAGGCCAGGCTGACTCTCTTGTTCGGGGCTGAAGCAGCCGGTGATGTTGTGCTGACGCCAATGCTCCTTTACGTTCCAAAAACACCAGGGCCCTCAGGAATTAGGCTAAGTCCACTCTGCTGGTGCGCTAACAGTGTCTACATCCTGACTTACTGAGTATTTTAAGCTCACTGTTGAGACCTACTGCTCAGAAAAAAAAATCCCTTTGAAATATTACTGCTCATTGGCAATGCATCTGGTCACTCGAGAGCTCTGATGAGCTGAACATGGAGATCAGTGCTGTTTTCATGCTTGCTAACAATATCCACTCGGCAGTCGATAGATCAAGGAGTAATTATGACTTGCAAGTTTTACTTTTTATGAAATACATTTTGTAAGGCTATAGCTTCCATGGACAGTGATTCCTCTGAAGGATCTGGACAAAGTAAATTGTAAGTCTTCTGGAAAAATTCTCTATTCTAGTTGCCATTAAGAACATTCATGATTCATGGGAAGAGACCAAAATAGCACCATGAACAGGAGTTTGGAAGAAGTTGATTCCAGCCCTCATGGATGACTTTGAGGAGTTCAAGACTTCAGTGGAGGCGGTCACTGCAGATATGACAGAAATAGCAAGAGAACGAGAATTAGAAGTGGAGGATGAAGATGGGGCTGAACTGCTGCCTCTCATGATAAAACTTAGTGGGTGAGGAGCTGCCTCTTAGGAGTGAGCAAAGAGAGTGGTCTCTTGAAATGGAATCTGCTCCTGGTGAAGATGTTGTGAACACTGTTGAAATGACACAAAGGTTTAGAACAAGATATCGACTTAGTTGACACAGCAGCAGCCAGGTTTAGGAGGACTGACTTCGATTTGGGAGGACATTCTACTGCATCCCATGCTACAGAGAAATCTTTCTTGAAATGAATAGCCAATCTGTGCAGCCAACTCCATTGTTGTCTTCATTAAAGGAACCACTGCAGTCACCCCAGCTTTCAGGAACCACCCCCCTGATCAGATCAGTCGACACCATCAACACCGAGGCACCATCCTCCACCAGCACAAAGATGACAACATGCTGAAGGCTCAGGTGGTCATTAGCATTTTCTAGTCATAGAGTATTTTAAATTAAGCGATGTACACTTTTTAGACACAATTTTATTGCTTACATAAAAGACTGCAGTGTCGTGTCAGTCCAACTTTCATGAGCACTGAGAAATCAAAAAATGTGTGTGACTCGCCAAACCTGCAATGTCCCTCAGGTGTGGTCAGAAGAAGCCTCACAGCTCCAGCCTAGCTGCCCAGGAGGCTGAGTCGTGCAGGGGAGCCCGCGGACATGTGGGGGTGCCATCTCTCCCAGGGCCGGCCATTTCCCAGTAGACCTCAGGGTACGCTGTTACCGAAACAAGAGTCGGCGCTTAAGAGAAGAGCCCAGCGGTGTCATGGAAACAAACCGTGCAAGGTAATCAGGGCCTTGTGGGTGAAGAGGGGCCCGGCCTGCTGCTGATCACTGCAAGTAGCTGTCACATGGAGATCTATCTGCTTGGGGTTTGTCACCCAGGGGTGGCTAGGCTCTTCCACCGATGGTGCCCGTGTGCTAAGGTGGTGAGGGCAAGGTTGGCCCGTGGAATGTCCCTAGCCTCCCCATCACCGTGTTTGTCACCACCCAACACCCAAACTGTTATCCTCACCTGCTCCGTTCCTCCTCCTCAGCTCTCAGAAAAGTTTCCTCTTGCCCTCCCAGTCCGGGAGAGATGGGCAGCGTTGGAGAGACTGAAAGAAAGGGCAGGGTTCTGGGTTACTAGGTCAGTTCCTGAGGCTCTGTAGACAGGAATTTGGGTCAGAAGTAAAGTAGAAGGGAAACTAAAGAAGAATGAAGTAGAGAAGGAGAAAGAGCAAAAAAGGAAATGCAGATGCCATGCTGTCTGTGCAGTGGAGGGAGGGAAGCACCAGAGAGACGGCACACCAGGTTGCCTGGACCTCCGAGGAGTTTGGGGCATTTTGAAAGGTGGAAGTTTCTAGAGAAGCTTTGAAGAACAAGGTAATGAGATAGAAAACTAGAAGGGGACCTTTTTAAATGTTTTTTAGCCTAAAGATGGAAAGTCTCTTTTTCTTTGGGCTCCTGGGTTGTGCTTCTATGAAGATAATGGAGAGATGGGATCACAAGGAACACGGGTCTCTACTCGGGTTACGTGAATAGACATTCAAAACTGAAGGAGTAGCTCGTTCCTGAGCAGTCAGACAAGTGCGTGGACATCAAGAGATGACTGTCACTGCTCAGAAAGATGTTGAGTAGCCTTGGCAATGACAGAGGAGCCCTCCCGCCCTCTGCCCTCCGAGAGTGCTAGGCTGTGGTGCCCCTCATCCCTGAGGCTGCCAGGCCTGAGCCCCACTTCCTGGACACATGCTGACGAGGGAAGATCTCCACCCTCGCTCTGTTCATGACACCTCCACCATGGGGGCCACGGTGACATCAGCCTTGTTGGCAGCCACAGCCCACTGTTGACTCATATGAAACTTCCTGTCAACTAAAAACCCAACACCTTTTCACTTGTGCTGTTGACCCAGGTGTCCCACATCCTGTGTGTGTCTGGGGGGTGTTCTGAACGCTGGCATGAGAAACGGTTTCTAGGACCTTGTGCCTTGGTGTGCAGACTTTTGGTCCAATGTCAATTTCAGGCTTTATTATTATTGTTATCATTATTAGTCAGGGTCTCATTCTGTTGCTCAGGCTGAAGTGCAGTGACACGATCATGGCTCACTGCAGCCTCGACCTCCTGAGATCAAGCAATTCTCCCCTCTCGGCCTCTGGAGTAGCTCTGTCTTTCTCTCACCTTCCTGGTCCTGTCCGTTTCTCCCTGCTTCCCACAGGCCCCTTGGTGATAAGTCAGTTTAGCACCAGGCATGAACCAGAGCCCCAGCCTTCAAAGTCAAACCCATCTGGGTTCCAAATCTCTTGACATCAATGGCTGTGCGATCTCGGGCAGGTTGCTTTATCTCTCTTGAGTCTTCATTTCCTGGGTTGTGAAAGGCTAGCATGCCCATCTTGCAGGCATGTGGTGAGGAGTAAGAGAGATAATCTATGTAAACTGTTGGCCGTGCTTGCTTACACTTAGGAGTTTCTCAATAAGTGTTCATCCCTTTCCTCCACCTGCCATTCCGTTCTAGTCATTGAACGAGATATGGTCAAAGACAGAGCCCTTGGCATGCCTCACTCCCCTACACCGTCCAGGTAGATGTGGCTAGAGTTGCCTGTCCCTGGCCCATCTGACTGTCCCAGAATTCCCTTCACTTCACTGTCTTGCCTCTGACCCATCAGCCACCAGCGCCTCGGGGACTTCCCCCACCCAAAGGCATTTCTTTTTATCACAGAGACTTCTTGGAGGTAGAGCTGTTCAATAAGACACCAAGAAATGAATCTGGCAGTGATGCCGGGGCAGGGGAAACACCTGGGTGCTACAGTCCCACAGCTGGGCCAGGTGGGAACTTACCCCTCCCGGACCTGGGGCTGGCCCGAGCCCTGGGGGCGGAGTGGGAGGGGTGAGGAGCTTGGAGCTTCATGTACCTTAATTCAGTTTCATAGAAATCTCGTGGTGAAGGTGATATGAACCCCATTTTGCAGAAACCGGGGTTTCAGGCAGCCACGAGGTCTCCCGAGACATGAAGGTGACAGAATCAGGATTTGTCCTCAGGCCACTCCCTCCTGGCCAGGGGCCTCCCCCATCACTTACTCCTCCCTAGGGCCCTGGAAAGCCCCACAGTGGGAGATTCGCTCTTTATCTGGTCAATAACTGCCCATTAGAAAGCCTGGGCTTAATAAACCATTAACGTTTGAATTATTGAAGGGGTGGGAAAGTGTAGGAAGACTCAGATGGGGGTGGGGAGCGAGTCCCACCAAGGGGGAGGGAATGGCAAAAGAATGTTGGCTGAGTCTCCCCACCAAGACATTTTCTTGGGTGTGACTGTACAGTTTCTGGAACAACCACATTATAACCCACGTCTCACCATTTGATAGGGGAAGACGGTGAGGCTCCACGAGGTGTCCTGACTATCTAGGAATCCACAATCATGGAGTGGAGTATGACTAAGGTCAGGCAGGCTCTCTCCTGGACGCCCTGTCACAGCACAGAGGCCAGGATGGAGACGCTGCCGGGAAGAGCCCAGGAGCTGGAGAGCACCAGTGGGGCAAGGTGGGGGTGAGTCAGGGTCAGACAGAGGGTCAGACAGAGGGTCAGACAGAGGGAAGGCGGGCTAGGAGGGGAGAGGCCAGAATGCCTGCGTGTCAGACGGTGCGTGGGCACAGGGGGTAACCAGTGCGTCAGAGTCCTAGGAACAGCCAGCTTTCCTCATGAACTTCAGTCGTGATGATTTCTATCAAATTTGCAACAGGAAGTCGATCCTTCAAGGCAGGGGAGCTAGAAGCAAAGAGGAAATTGAGCCAGCTCCTTTCTCCTCGTGTTCATGTCGGCCGCTGGCCCTCTCAGCTGGTCTTCACTCAGTGCCCTCGGCTCTTGGCTAACAATGCCCTTCCAGCTCCTGGGGAGTTTCTAAAATCACACTCAGCTGGAAAGAAAAGAACAAGGACACACAGAACTGAGGTGCTGGGGTCCCTTGCCTAGACACTGGAAGCCATGATTCTGAAGTTAGAGGAAGCAACAGATTTGAGGCACCCCAAACCTCACTGTCCATAGGAGGGTAACAGGAGGCACAGCAACCACTGCCAAAGGACCCTGCTGCTATGGGATCCAGACAGGAGCTCTGGGGACAGTTAGCCAGGCAAACAGCCAGTCCGCTTCCTTCAAGCCTCGAGTTCTTTCAGCCAGGAGGCGACACCTGCATGGTGATAGGTTTGCTGGCTGCTTATGTGAAGGACTAGGGCCCATCAGGGCAGCATGGAAAGCTAGACCCACCCTCCAGGGGACGTCTCCAGCTCCCGTGCACTCTCACATGGAGAGCTGGCCCACAACGTGTGCTTCACAAACACCAGTTGAACGCCTGAGTCAATACATGAATGACCACTTAATAATTGGATTCCTCACTGTCACAATCTGCCCAGACTGCTGTCACAAAACACCAAAGACTAGGTGGCTTAAACAACAGAAATGCATTTCCTCACAGTTCTGGAAACTGGAGGTCTGAGATCAGGGTGTCAGCATGTCCAGTTCTGTTGAGGGCTCTCTTCGTGGCTTGCAGACAGCCACCTCCTTACTACGTCCTCACATCGCAGAAATCTCTCTCTTTCTCCTCTTCTTATAAGGGCACAGTGCTGTTAGGATTAGGACTCCACGCTGATGACTTCATTTAAGTTTAATCCCCTTCTAAAGACCCTGTCTCCAGATATATTCACATTGGATGTTTGGGTTTCAGCAATTGCGGGGGGGGGGGGGCATGAGTCAGTTCGTGGCACTCACCAAGGAAGGAATGCGATGATGACTTCATAAAAGGTCTGTGGGATTCCTCCAGCAAATCCAGCAAAGGCCTTCATTACCCCTGCTCCATCTGGGAGGCCCTTAAAGTGTCATTGTGCTACATTCCCTTAAACCTACCATGACCAAGCTAGTTCTCTGCATTGATACTATCTTCACGTCCAGGAGTGGGAGCCTAGAGGGCCAGCAGGCCTCCTGCAGAGGACAGGGCCTTGATAGATTGCAGAGGCATGACTCCCCAGGCTGTGGGAAGAACACTGTCCCGAGAGCTGGGCTCTCCCATGTCCTGCCACTCCCTCGTAAGTCATTGGGCAAGTCACTTCCCTTCTCCAGACTCCAATCTTGCCATCTCTAAAACAAAGGTGGGGAGGTTTGATTATTTCTAAGAACCTTCCACTACTCCTGCTTTACCTATTCCCAGGGGAAAGCAAAGTCCAATAGTCAAAAGTAAACAGCTCTAGCCGGGCTCGGTGGCTCAGCCTGTAATCCCATGCCTTTGGGAGGCTGAGGTGAGTGGATTGCCTGAGCCCGCGGGTTTGAGACCCACCTGGGCAGGTGAGACCTCATCTCTACACTAAAATCAAAAAATCAGCTGAGCACGCCTGTAATTCTGGCTACTCGGAAGGCTGAGGCGGAAGGATCGCAGGAGCCCAGCGGGTCGAGGCTTCGGTGGCTGGGAGCAGCCACTGCACTCCAGTCTGGGCGACAGAGTGAGACTCCAACTCAAAAAAAAAAACTAACAAAAAAAGTAAACAGCTCAAGACAGGCTGGCTGGGCATAGTGGCTCACACCTGCAATCCCAGAGTTTTGGGAGGCCAAGGCAGAAGCTTGAGCCCAGGAGTTCCAGGCTAGCCTGGGCAACATAGTGAGACCATGTCTTTATTTAAAAAAAAAAAAATTAGCTGAGCATGGTGTTGTCTGTCTGTAGTCCCAGCAACCCAGGAGGCTGAGGTGGGAGGATCACCTGACCTCTGGAGGTCGAGGCTGTGGTGAGCCATAATCGCCCACTGCACTCAGCCTGGGACACAGAGTGAGACTCTGACTCAAAAAAAAAAGCTAAGAAAAAATTCTGGCTTCTTTGCTAACTGCTGAAAAACCCTTGGGGTTATCGCAGTGACCTCCTTCATGCGATTCCCAGCATCACTGTGATGGATTGTCCCCCACAATCCCTGACTCTTCACACCTGGGCCTGTGGCTGCTGCCTGTGACTTTCCAATTCCTCTCATGACAGGAGGAATTTCCCTTCTTATAGGAGGAATCTCTCTTATTCCAAGAGCCTTCCCCCAAAATATACATGCTGAAACCTAAATACCAGTGTGATGGGATTGGAGGGAAGTCTCTGGGAGA